CCCCAGCCCCAGATCCTTTTTATACTTCTTTGGCGTACTACAGAACTGTGCTATTGTAGTGGCCTCTAGCCCTTCAGTTTCAATTCAAATTAATAAAAATAAAATTAAATTAAAAATTCAGTCTGCATTTCAAGTGCATGAAATAAACACATGTGGCTAGTGGCTACCATATTGTATAGTGCAGATATAGAAAATTCACATCATCTCAGAAAGTTCTTGTGAACACATATTCTTTTCTTAGTCTCTTTGCTTTACTTCTCATCTCCTTAACAGACTTACAAAGGGTGACTCTACTACTGGTGTCTTTTAAGCTATCTTTAATCATGGTAGGCTTGCTTTCTGCTTTTCACAAATTTGAAAAAATTGAAAATTCAGAGGGCATGATAGGTGAGCCTTCTGATAAATGTTGATACCAGTTGATAGTATAGTGTGAGGTGTCTTATTTCAGCTTAAAATTGTGGAGTACTGAAGACTGATTAAGTGAGAAAGAAATTCTGAAGCCTGTTAAAGGGGCTGTATCCAAAATCTGGAATAGGGGAGAAGGCAGTGGCAATAGGGACAGCCAATGAATTTAGGAAGAAAACATATTTTTAGAGCTTTATGTCCTTTTTAGAGCTCAATCTTTTCAACTGTGTAGTTAAGAAATTGCTGTGAATGGATCTGTAGAATCAAGTAGAAAATTGTACTGCATTTATAAGTTCTTTTATTTTTTCCTCCCGGTACTGGGAATTGAACCCAGGGTGCTCTACCACTGAGCCATATCCACAGCCCTTTTATTTTAAACTTTGAGAGAGGGTCTTACCACATTGTTGAGGTTGGCCTCAAAATTGTGATTCTTCCACTTCAGCCTCCTAAGTAGCTGGGGATTACAATTGTGTGCTACCATGGCTTGCACAACCTAAGTTTTTATTCTTCAAGTCCCTATACCATGTGGACCAGTATTCCATTGTATTTTAGAGATTTAAATTAGTATTAAGTCAACATGTATCATTCGACTGTTTAAACTAGAGAAAAATAACCCCTGCAGGCTATTTCTTTTTTCTTTTTCTTCTTTTTTTTAGTGGACACAATATTTTTTTATGTATTTATTTTTATGTGGTGCRAGGATCGAACCCAGTGCCTCACACATGCAAGACAAGCACTGTACCACTGAGCTATAGCTCCAGCCCCCGTGTAGGCTATTTCTGATATTTAGTTATTACAACATATAGGTACGATATAACATGTTTTAATTATGTGCATTCAGAATTATGTTAGAATACTGCCATTTTTATCACCTGGCTGTGTATATTTTTATATGCATACAAATAAAAACAGGGATGACACTACTCCCTGTATAGAATCTAGCTTATAATAGTTGTTAGAAAATGTGGGTTTTTTCTTCTGCATTGATCATAAGAATGTTTAACAGAGCCAGTAGGTGAGAAGAGAATAAGCAACAGAAATCTTTATGAAAATACCACATTCTCAATTTAGAGATGACTTGGGGGAAGGGGATAGAATATCAGTATATTCCTAACATGATTATCTGAGAATGTGAAGGGTTGTTAAGCTTTTTAAGGAAATATTAGACATCAGCCCCCAAACTTAAGTGAGTCTGCCTTTCTCTATGGCTTCTGTATGGCTTACAAGACAGAATTTTTTTTACTTGAGTTGCAAAATAACAAACTTGGCTCTTTAAAAGAATCTGGTAATTACATATTCTAAATAAGAAAGAGTTGGAGTAACTATTTTTAAATAGGCTTTAAATTACATGTGTCTCCCAGTTTTGTTATTTCTGTGTTATTTCATTTCTAGAAAATTCTTGGTGCATTGATATCTTTTAATATGGCCATTTGTTTTGAAGTGTTCAAATTTGAAGATTATTCATCTTTGTACCCCATAAACATTTGTTGAATGAATGAATATGAAGGAGTCAAGGTAACTAATTGTTCTCATAAGGAATTAAGTGGTTAACATTAACAGGTAGGTTGAGTTGGCCATGTGAAGACAGGTAGCCAAGGAAAAGGAAGACGTAGTGGTACACAAGGTGTCGTACTGTGATAGGATCTGTGCTGCTGTCCTGATGCAGCAGACTGTTTTCATCTTAGGACAGCAATAGTCAGTCATTGCCTGGGGATACACAGCCATGGATGTTAGGGCAGCTCAAACCTTCCTAACCAGACTCTCCAGACTTAAAATAGTCTTAAGGTTTCTGACTAAAAAGCCTGTCAGTATTATCTGGCAAGAGTACCTTAACAGAAGGAAAAAAATCCTAAAAAAAGTCGAATGCTTTAACTTCTCTCTTTTTTTCTTTTGGTGCTGGAGATAAAACCCAAGGCCTCATGCATGATAGCACAACACTCTACCATTGAACTACACCCCAAGCCCTGACTTCCCTTGGGATAGGGTTGAGTAAAGAAACTTAACTTACTGGGTTGGGGTTGTAGCTCAGTGGTGGAGCGTTTGCCTCACATGTGTGAGGCACTGGATTTTATCCTCAGGACCACATAAAAATAAATAAATAAAATAAAGATATGGTGTCCACCTACAACTGAAAATAAAAAAGGAAAGAAAGTAATTTACCCTCCATGTGGCAGGCATATATTATTTATTTGTTTGATTATTTAATTTGGGGTGGGGCATGCTCATTATGTTGTCCAGGCTGGCCTTGAACTCATGGGCTCACGTTATCCTCCTTCCTTTTTTTTTGGTACCTGGGGTGGAACTCAGGGGCACTTGACCATTGAGCCATATCCCTAGCCCTATTTTGTATTTTATTTTGAGACAGGGTCTCACTAGGTTGCTAAGTGCCTTGCTTTTTGCCAAAGCTGGCTTTGAATTCGCAATCTTCCTACCTTTTTTTGTTTTTTATTATTGTTTATTATTATTTTTTTATTCTATATATTTGTTATCTGTGACAGCAGAATGCATTCTTAACAGCACCTCCCCCCTCAGCTGCTGGGATCACAGGCGTGCGCCACCACACCCAGCAGCAAGGCTTTTCTTACATGTGTTTCTGCTTAGGTTTCTTCTTCACAGGTTAACACTATAAATGGTGGAGATTCTTTTCTAAGAATTTGTTGAGAATAGGAATAACATTTTATACATCTTTTTATTGTCAGGTTTAGCTTGTTCTAGTGAATGGTATACAGTAATTGTTCAGTAGATGTTAATTGAGTGAGTGAAACCGTTAGGGCTGTGCTACTCATGGTTGGTAGAGCTCTGTTCTTTGTGTCACTCACAGGTTAAATGCTGTCTTTAAATGGATGCTTATGAGTCATAGTGCATTTTAGAATTGAGCATTCTCACATACACACTATTTTGAGCACTCCCACTTACACACTTTAATTTGTCTTTCATATATGTTGTAGGAGGACCGAACATGTGGGCTATTACCTCTGAAGAACGTACTAAGCATGACAAACAGTTCGATAACCTTAAGCCTTCAGGAGGTTACATAACAGGTATATTTATAATCGTGTTTATAATTTGTTTTATTTTACTTGTAAATTATGCTCCTTTTAGGAACTGATAAATTTGTATTGATAAAATTCTAGAATTTAAAAGGAAAAAAAATAAGATAGTTTCTTATTTTTCCCGAAACTATCTTGATTTGTTGTTTTGAATTTGGCATATAGAAGATTTTTTTTCTTGACTCTTAAATGATAGTCAAGAATTTCTGCTTAATTGTCTAGTTTTCACATCTTAATATTATATCTAAAASTTTTCAGTTTATTTCTTAGATCCATTTCCTAGAGGGTAATCTAGAATTTTTTTCTGGAATGCATTTTTATAATATTAGTTTTTTTATCTTTGAGGCTGTGCAAACCATTGATTGTTGATGCTAGCCCTTGTTTTATAAAAAAGAGATAATTTAGGTGTGTCTTTCAAATTGTTTTCTAAAAATGAAACTTTTATTTTTGTTCCAAAGTAGTATAGCTTTATATAMAGTAATAGTCATGATAATAACAAATATCCTTTTTCTTGCATTTGACTAATGCCAGATTTTGTGATAAATATTAGCTGTTGTTTTACTTTGACAACAGCCCTGTGAGGTAGATACTGCTGTTGGTAGATACTTACGGTTGGTAAAACCAAGACTTCAAAATGTTATGGAACCTGCCTAATGTTATAAAGATGGCTAGTGTTGATCTGTGTTTTGAAATCTTTCACTGTGACTTTGGGAATCCATCCTCTTAACCATTATAGTTTGTTATTTATATTTCTCCTATAGTGACCTCTTTACCTCATCTCAGGATTTGATAGCTTTGCTTACAAGTCAATATTATGGCCTGTTATTGTTCATGGGTACTGGTGAAACACCCAAAGTTCCTGAGTCAGAGACCAAAGAATTTGTTACTAGTAGCACATATAGCAACATGAGCATGTTTCTTTTGGATTATTAGTCCTATAAAGATAATGCAGAACACTCAGAAAGATGCTGGACATGTATAAGTTTTGTAGCAAAAGAGAAACACTGAACTGAGGGAACCCATCATCTTGTAGCAAGCAGTAAAGCAGATTTGTTCTTTGTCTCAGTGGGAGACATTATCTCATTCCTCAAGCTTGCTCACTTACAAGCACCATTCTGAGAAATGACCTAAGCATGGAGGAATTAGGATTTTGTATTCTTGTCACATACAAGAGGAAACATAGATATATGCAGAAACCATGGAGGACTCTCTCTCTTAATACTTTTTATGTTAAAAATACTTTTTGTGTTAAATGGAAATATTATCCCTAATTGGGGAAAAGTCTAAGAAATTATGTAATCTTACATCACTGGTTGATATGTAATATCACTTCAGTTGTGATTTAKGTTCTAAAACATCTTCTTAAAGTAMTATAAATAATTTCATATTTGTATTTCTACTTCATTTACTCCATGACTGGAATTAAAATTTTAATAAACCAATAATGTGTTCCCATTGTTATTCAATGGCACTAGAGGAATTTATTTACTAATGACTGCTTGGTTTATGTTTTTATTATCTTCAGGTGATCAAGCCCGCACTTTTTTCTTACAATCAGGTCTGCCGGCTCCTATTTTAGCTGAAATATGGTAAAATTTCTTTTTGTTTTGTTAACAAATGTACTTATGTTTCTGATGGCCTGTTTTTTTTTATAATATGGTGTTAACATTAAATTATTTTTATGTGTACTTGATTATTGTTAAGAATATTTTTCAATTTTATTGAGCACAGGACAATTTTCTAATTTTATTAGAACTTTTTTTCAGCCCACAGGACAATTTTCTAATTTTATTAGAACTTTTTTTTTTTAAGTATTTTTTAGTTGTAGTTGGACACAGTATCTTTATTTTATTTTTATGTGGTGCTGAGGATCGAACCCAGGGCCTCACATGTGCTAGGTAAGCGCTCTGCTGCTGAGCCACAATCCCAGCCCAATTTTATTAGAACTTCTAAGGAAAAAAGATGTATATATCATCCAGAAATATTTGTTAGGCTGGGATTGTGGCTCAGTAGTAGAATACTTGCCTAGCATGTCTTAGGCACTGGGTTCAATTCTCAGCATTACATATAAATAAAAAAAATAAATAAAAGTCCATCAACAACTAAAAAAAGATATTTTTTAAAAAGAAATATTTAATTGGGCAGAATCTCAAAATTGTCTTTCTCTTAGTTTGTAGTGGTTAAATTATTTTGTCATTTATAAACTCAAAAGTAGCCCTTCATCTTTTAAAAAATTTATTCTCTAGAATATATGGGGTTGTGTTTTCCAGTGTATTTATAATAAATAACAACCACTACCCTTTCTTCCTTTCCTCTTAGAATATTCCTGTACTTAAGAGAATGCCAAGCACATAACATGCATTTAATAAACATTTGAACAAACAAATAAATTTAAAATGATTCTATTCTTGAATCATTTCTGTCTACCTATGGGAATTCATCGTATAGGTCTCTATATTCTATATAGATAGGTAGTATTTTATTAGATGCTGTATCTGGTCAGTGTTTCTTAATGTATAGGGTTTTTTTTTGTTATTCATATATATTTTTAATTAAGTGGTGATCTACTTGTGAATGTGAAGTCCTGGTTTTTATTTTGTTAACCTTAATAGTAATGTTGGTTTTCTCACCACCACCCCTGCCACATACCAACCTACCTATCTCATACTTCTTTTAGGGCCTTATCAGACCTCAACAAGGATGGGAAGATGGACCAGCAAGAGTTCTCCATAGCTATGAAACTCATCAAGCTAAAGCTTCAAGGCCAACAGTTGCCCATGGTTCTCCCTCCCATTATGAAACAACCCCCTATGTTCTCTCCATTAATTTCTGCTCGTTTTGGTATGTATTTATTAATTAAGTTGTCTGTATTTGATAGTTCACCTTGATTACTAGAATAATACTTGGGGATAAGAAAAGGATTTTTTTTAAACACAAAATGACAAACCCCAAACTCCCAAATTAATTTTTTATGTTTAAGATAAGAAATATTAAATTCACTGTCATTGCGAGAGTGTCCATGTGTTCCAAGTTTTCCAGAATAGTTCTGGTTTATGCCTTTTGTCCTGACATCTGGTCTAGTCAGTGTCCCCTTTCATAACTCCCAGTTGGGTAATAATTATATGCTCCCTTTAGTTATAGTTGATCCTAAATATTATTCTCATTTTCTCTAGGGGCTCATCCAAGTAGAGAGTAGGATGGTGATTACCAGAGTTGTAGAGGGAGGAGAAGGGATGATGATGAGAAAATGGTCAGTGGGTACAAAATTACAGTTACAGAGGAGAAATAAATTCTGCTATTCTGTTGCACAATAGAGTGACTATAGTTAACAGTTTTTTATTACATATTTCAAAATAACCAGAAGAGAGGACTTTGAATGTCTTCAGCACAAATAAATTATAAATGTTTGAGATGATAGATATGCTAAATACCTGATTTGACCATTACACAATGTGTACATGTTTCAAAACATTATATTGTACCTCATAAATATGTGAAATTATTATGTGTCGCTCAAACATCAAATAAAACAAAAAAAATGAACAACTTGAGATTCACTTGAAAGCGTTTACTTGGGAAAATAATTTTAAATTWTAAGAAATTATTAAGTTTCTATTAGAAATTTCTTTTAAGTTAAGTGTTAATTAGCACTGGATGTGGTGGTGCATGCCTATAATCCCTGTAACTCAGGAGCCTGAGGCAGGAGGATCACAAGTTTGAGGCCAGCCTCAGCAGCTTAGTGAAACCCCATYTCAAAATAAAAAATAAAAGACTGAGAATGTAGCTTAGTTAGAGTGCCCTTGGGTTCAATTCCCAGTACCAATAAATGAAGGAATAAATAAATTAATATTAATTAACCAACTGAATTGAGGGCCCAAACTTATAGACGTTGTGCTAATCAATTTACATATTCATCAAAGATATGTTGATATGTTTCCTATTAATTTTGATTATCCAATTTTTTACTATATATGAGAAGCACTCATTTTGAATGGAACATTCAGTTAGCTATCTGTGTTTTATGTAAACTAAAAAATATTCTGCTATATTTTAATCAGCCGACTTTTTGCCTTACTTTGCCTTTAAAAAATATATTTATGCTGGGCATGTATGTGCATACCTATAATTCCGGCAACTTGGAACTCTGAGGTGAGAGGATCATGATATAGAACTATATCTTTCCTTCACTCCAGATGTTAGATCTTAAATACCAGTTACACTGAGATTTAGAGATAAATACCAAATCACTATGTGACTGTATTCGTATCTTGGGCTTAGTATTTTTCAATTACTATACAATGTCTTCACTTTGYTCCTTTAAAAGAATTTTCCTTGAATTCTAAATACATTGCTTATAAAAAAAATATGTGGCATGCTTTCTTGCAAATAATGCAAATGTATAAGCGGGTTTCTAAAGTATTTACTAATTAGAACATTTTTGTTTGAGGAGTGTGTGTATATTTGTGTGTGTATGCGTGTGTGTGTGTGGGTGAGTCAAGTAACTTGGCACTTGACTTACATAAACTTAGTTTTTTTAATGTTAAGAAAAACAATTGATCACTAAAATAGTCTCTCATTGAGGGTACTAATACTTAATTGGAAAAGGCTGCTTAGGTTTAATCACAATTAGAGAAGAAAATCTTAACTGATTAGTAGGCATCTTCTTAGTTCATATAGGTCAGAATATTAGTTTTTAAAGCAGTGATTTACCTTTCTCACTTTTGATTCAAGACTGCTTTAGGGAATTTTTTTTTTTTTTTTTTTTTTAACACAGAGCCTTGTGCATGCTAGGCAAGTGATGTACCAACTGAGCTATATCCCCAGGCCTGCTTTAGTGAATTTTTACCAAACAAATATCTTAATTTGTTTAGTTTGCCCATGGTGTTCCTATTCACTGTACTGTGAACTTACTATTTGGCATGTGCTTTATAGTTGACTTAGTAGCACTGGAAAAATGTGTTCTCTTTTGTCTCTAGGGATGGGAAGCATGCCCAATTTGTCCATTCCTCAGTCATTGCCACCAGTTGCACCTATAACAACACCCTTGTCTTCTGCAACTTCAGGGACCAGTCTTCCTCCCTTAATGATGCCTGCTCCCCTAGTGCCTTCTGTTAGTACATCATCATTACCAAACGGAACCGCCAGTCTCATTCAGCCTTTATCCATTCCTTATTCTACTTCAAGTAAGTGTCTAATGAGTCAGTATTTCATGTGAAGAAACTATTGGATTTGTGTTCAATTAGATACACATTTCCTTCTTTGTGAGACTGCTTAGTGTGAACTTATGCCTTTTTTTTTTTTTTTTTTTAGCATTGCCTCATACATCATCTTACAGTCTGATGATGGGAGGATTTGGTGGTGCTAGTATACAGAAGGCCCAGTCTCTGATTGATTTAGGATCCAGTAGGTATGAATATTTAACACTTAAACAACTTTCTTTGCTTTTAGTAAGGAATATATAATAAGCTCTGAACTTATCSAGGTTTTACTTTGTAATAGCCAAATGTAGTTATTTAAGGTAAATCTGCTACTTATAACTCACATAAAGTAAGTTTTTTTTTTATCTTCAGAATTATTAAATGTGGTGTTTTGAAAAAAAATGTAAACAAAAATATTCTATGTTTCAATCAGTCAACTTTTTGGCCCAAGCTGTGTACTTTGCCTTTTTAAAAAGTGTATATACTGGGCATGGGTACACACCTGTAATCACAGCAACTTGGAAGACTGAGGTGGGAGAATCATGAGTTCAAGGCCAGCCTGGGCAACATTATTTCAAAACAAAACAAAACAAAAATATATGTTTCTCAAAATGTCTCATAATCATTATATATTGTTAATTTTTTTCTTGAGTAGCTTCTGCTGATTTAGTGTCTTTTAAATTTTAGAAATCACAAAAGCATCACTTCTCTTAGAGGTCACTGTTAAGCTCTTCAAAGCAGTGTGAAAAGAGTGGTAGCTTTGACCCATAAGAACAACATTCCAGTCACAGCCTAAACATTCACTGAWTTTTGTGACCTTATTTTTTCTTAATATCACTGAGCCATAGTTTATTCATTTAAAAGATGGGGACAATAATATCTTTTAAGTTTGTTGGGAAGATAAGAAATTATATTTGTAAAGGCTGTAGCATAGTACAAGACCTGGCACATAGTGGCTTATTGGTATGTGATAGACCTTTGGAGTTTTGTACATTGTATGGTACTTGCTTTACTTAGAATAATGATAATTGCTTAAATTTTAGGTTTTTTAAAAATACAAATGTAAAAGCAATTATTATATAAGGTATGATTCTTATTGTTTATCTTACAAGTTTTAATTRAAAGTATTTAGTAACAAAACATTTTAAATTAATTTTGTTATAGCTCAACTTCCTCAACTGCTTCACTCTCAGGGAACTCGCCCAAGACTGGGACTTCAGAGTGGGCGGTTCCTCAGCCTTCAAGATTAAAATACCGGCAAAAATTTAATAGTCTTGATAAAAGCATGAGTGGATATCTCTCAGGTAAGCCATATAGAGTGCCATTAGAGATGAGAATTAAATTATTATTAAATTATTTTATACAGATTTATTTGAAAAACTGTAATTTGACTTTGTACTTTGTAGGTGAACTAAAGTTTTAATACTCCAAAAGTTTAGATGACATTTGACAAATAAAAATATTATAAGGTGTATGAAATTCAGAGATGAAATCAACTTGATTGCTTCTTCAAAGTTCTTACAATCAAGTTGAACATGTTAGTATACACCCAACCTTTTGGAAAAAGACCTGTCTCTCAAGTATATCAACCTCATCCTCTAAGCTTTTCAGTGCATGAAGGAACCCCAAGTCACTAGGTGCCATGTGTGGAATTTAGCCTTCACTTACTTTCCCTATTGGATCTTTCCTCTGGTTGCTCTTTGCAAACCTCAGACAAGCATTGTTCACCATCCTTTAGTGCTCTAACCCAAATGTGCCTATAAGACTTGGTCTTAGATCCTTRTAGAACATTTGAGTCCAGGCTAGAACATTATCCAAACTTTACTAAGTGAGGATAGTGAAGGGGATATACACAGRGGCTAATAGGCAAGCAGAGTTCTTAACCTCTGACTTTCTCACTCCCTCTTCACTTAGAAACTATGATGTAGGACAGAGTAAAACAAATATTTAAAAATAATAGAGCTTTAACATGTCAGGGAATGTAGAATGGGAGAAATTAATAATGATAGGCTCAGATAAAAGAGAAAGGGTTAGGATTTAGACAGAAATTGAAGATGAGGGCATTTGAGATTGACAGAGAAGAAATCCTAGGTAAAAAATACATGGACTAAACCAGCACTACAGAACTTAAAAATATTCCATATAAAAGATATTAAAAAAAACCCAAGAGCTCACAAATGAACAAACCTCATTTGAAGAGTAGCTAAGCAAATRAGAAACAGGACCCAATTAAATATGATAAACAAATCAAAATGGAAGGAATTAATAAGCATCTCTCTGTAATAAACTTTGAATATAAATGGACTGAGTTCTCCAATGAAAAGACATAGGCTGGGGGCGAGCTTGTAGCTCAGTGGTAGAGTATTTGCCTAGCACATGTGAGGCACTGGGATTGATTCTCAGCACCACATAAAAATAAATAATAAAATAAAGGTATTGTGTCCATCTACAACTAAAGACATCATCTTAAATAAAAAAGACATAAGCTGGCAGGATGAATTAAAAAACAAGATCCAATTATATGCTGTTTACAAGAGATGCATCTTACAGACAAAGAAAGCCACAGGCTGAAAATGAAAGGGTGAAAATTAGTAAACCATGTGAATGAAGCCCTGAAACAAGCAGGAGTGGCTACTCTCATATTTGACAAAGCATACTTTAAACCACAATTAATCAGAAGAGTCAAAGAAGGTCATACTGGTAAAGGGAAAAGTGCAAAAAGAATATATAAAAGTAATAAATATTCATGCCTGAACTGTGGGTTCAACTAATTACATAAAAGACTAGAGACACTACTCAAATTAAAGCCTAAGAAAGACTCTAGTATAATAATAATATGGGTGATTTCAGCATACCTCTCGCACCATTAGATTAGGTCATCCAGATATAAACTTAGTGAAGACTCTTTGGACATGAAAAATTTTATACATCAAATGAACTCAACAGACATTTATAGAATATTTCATCCAATAGCAGCTGAATGAATACACTTTATTCTCAGCAACTCATGGAATCTTCTTCAAAAAAGACTATTTTAAATCACAAAGCAACTGTTAGCAAATAGAAAAAAATGATATAATTCCTTGCATGTTATCAGATCATAAAGGAATGAAATTAGAAATCAGCATGACAAAACCCTACAGAAACTATATAAACACATGTAGACTGAACAATACTGTTTTAAATGGATGATAAAGAAATCAAGGGAGAAATTAAACAATTCTTAGACTCAAATGAGAATAGTGATATAACATATCAGAACCTCTGGGGCACTATGAAGGCAGTTCTAAGAAGAAAACTTATAGTGTTGAGAGCCTAGATAAGAAAATAAGAAAGATCCCAAATAAACAACTAATGTTGTATCTCAAGGCCTTTGAAAAAGAAGAACTAACCAATTTCAAAATCAGTAGAAGAAAATAATTAAGATCAGAGCCAAAATCAATGAACTTGAGAACAACTACAACAACATAATACAAAGGATCAGTGAAACAAAGAGTTGATTTTTTGAAAAGATAAGGAAGATTGATAAGCCCTTAGCCAAACTAACCAAAAGAAAAACAGAAAACACAAATTAATAAAATTAGAGATGAAAAAGGAGAAATCACCACAAACATTCAGAAATCCAGGAAATTATTAGGAACTATTTTGAAAACTTACACTTCAAARAATTAGAAAATCTAGCAGAAATGGGTACATTTCTAGACAAATACAATCTGCCAAAACTGAACAGGACATAGAAAATTTAAACAGACCAATAACTTATAATGAGAGAGAAGCAGTAATAAAAAGCCTTTCAAAAAAGAAAAGCTCAGGATTAGATAGAGTCTCAGCTAAATTCTATCAAACCCTTAAAGAAGAACTGATGCTAATATTCTTCAGATTATTCCATGAAATGGAAAGGGATGGAACACTTACAAATTCATTCTGTGAAGCCAGAACACTCCTACCCAAACCAGATAAGGACACATCAAGGAAAGAAAACTATGTATGACCAATATCCCTGATGAACTTAGATGTAAAAGTACTTAATAAAATATTAGCAAATTGTGTTCAATGGCATATTAAGAAGATTGTACACCACAACCAAGTTGGTTTTATTCCAGATATGCAAGGAATATTTAATATATACAAGTCAATAAATATAACTAATCACATAAATTGAATTAAGGACGAAAACCACTTAGTAATCTCAATAGATGCAGAGAAGGCCTTCAACAAAATTCAGCACCCATTTATGATAAAAACACTGAAGAAACAAGGGATAGAAGGAACCTACCTCAACATCACAAAGGCTACAGATGAAAAACCCAAAACCAACCTCAGAGTAAATGGAGACAAACTGAAATCATTTCCTTTAAAGTATTGGATAAGACAGGGATGTCTACTCTCACCACTCCTATTTAATACTAGTGCTAAAAATTCTAACCAGAGCAATTAGRCAAGAGAAGGAAATAAAAAGGATAAAAATAGGAAAGAAAGAAAACAAATTATCACTGTTTGTGGATGATATGATCCTATGCCTAGAAGATCCAAAAAGTTCCACCAAAAGACTGCTTAGAGCTCAAAAACAAATTTAGCGAAATAGCTGGTTACAAAATCAACTTATGAAAATGAATAGATTTCCTGTATATCAACAATGAATCTGCTGAGAAAGAAATCAGGAAAACAGTTCCATTCTCAAAAGCCTTAAAGAAAAAAAAAAAAAAAAAGAAGAAGAATACCTAGGAATAAATCTAACCAAGGAGTGAGGAGTGAGATACCTCTACAATGACATTCTTCAAACAAGCAGACAAAAACAGTCCTAAAGTTTATTTGGAAGAACAAAAGACTCTGAATAGCCAAAGCATTTCTAAGCCATAAAAGTAATGTTGGAGGCATCACAATATCTGCCTTCGAATTATACTACAGAGCTGTAGAAACAAAAATAGCATGGTACTGGCATAAAAACAGAATCATAAATCACTGGTACAGAATAGAAGATACAAAGATAAACCCACACAGATACAGTTTTCTGATCCTTGACAAAAGTGCCAAAAACATACATTGGAGAAAAGACAGCCTTTTTAACAAGTGGTATTGGGAATACTGGTTATCCATATGTAGAAAAATGAAACTAGACCCTTATCTCTCATTCTGTACGAAAATCAACTCAAAATAGATCAAAGACCTAGGAATCAGCCCAGAAACTATGCAGCTCCTAGAAGAAAACATAAGTCAACACTCCAACATATGGGCACAGGCAACAACTTTCTCAATAGGACCCCTAAAGCTCAGGAAATAATACAAACAAGTAATAAATGGGATGACATCAAATTTAAAAGCTTCTRCACAGCAAAGGAAAACAATTAGGAATGTGAAGAGAGAACRTATAGAATAGGAGAAAATCTTTGCCAGCTACTCTTTGGACAGGATTAATATCTAGAATCTATAAAGAACTCAAAAAACTTGACACCGAAAAATCAAATAACCCATTTAATAAACGGGTAAGTGAATTAAACAGACCCTTCTCAAAAGTAGAAACACAAATTCCAACAAAATATGAAAAAAAAGTTCAACAACATTAACAATTAGGGAAATGCCAATCAAAACTACCCTGGATTTCATCTCATAGCAGTCATCAAGAAAATAAATAATAATAAATGCTGGAGAGGATGTGGAGAAAAAGGAACACTTTTACACTGGTGAGTGTGATTTTAAATGAGTACAACCATTATAGAAATCAGTATGGAGGTTCATCAAAAAACTAGGCATGAAACCACCATATGATCCAGCCATAACACTCCTTGGTATTTATCCTGAAGAATTAAAGTCATCATACTACAGTGATACATGCGTACCCATAATTATAGCAGCACAATTCACAATAGCCAAGTGTCTATCAGTGAGTTAATGGATAAGGAAAATGTAGCATATATACACAATAGAGTTTTATTCACCCATGAAGAAAATGGAAATTATGTCATTTGCAGGAAAATGGATAGAACTAGAGATGATTATGTTAAGTGAAATAAGTCAAACTCAGAAGGTTAAGTATTGTGATTTCTCTCATATGAAAGCTAGAGAGGAAAAAGGAAAAGAAAGGTTAAAGTGGGTAGGGATCTCATGAAAATCAAAGGGGTATTAGTAGAGGAAAGGGACCAAGGGATGAGAGGTGGAGAGGAAGGAGGGAAGTACTRGGGAATGATAGTGACCAAATTATATTGTTATACGGTGTGCATGTATGAATATGTTACAACAAATCCCTTCATTATGTGCAACTATAATATACTAATAAAAAATGGGGGGAAAGTACGTGACATATTTGGAGAATCAAAAATAGTCTGTGGGGTTGGGGTTGTGACTTAGTGGTAAAGTGCTTGCCCAGCATGTATGAGGCACTGGGTTCTCAGCACCACATGTAAATAAATTAAAAAATAAAGATCCATTGACAACTAAAGGTATGTTTTTAAAAAACAGTCTGGAGTATAGGGTCTGTAGTTCTGCAGTAGGGTAAGGGTGCAATGAGACTTGGAATTAACTGAACAAACAAAATATACAGTGTTTTTTTCCAAAGATACCTACTTGCATAAATAAAAACATTTTTTCCTTTTATTTTTTTTTTACTTTTTTTCTTTTTTTTTCTTTTTTTTATTGGTTGTTCACAACATTACAAAGCTCTTGACATATCATATTTCATACATTAGATTGAAGTGGGTTATGAACTCCCAATTTTTACCCCAATTTTTCCCCCCTCCCCTCCCCTCCCATCTTCTCTCTCTACCCCATCTACTGTAATTCATTTCTCTCCTTGTTTATTTTCCCATTCCCCTCATAACCTATTATATGTAATTTTGTATAGCAATGAGGGTCTCCCTTCATTTCCATGCAATTTCCCTTTTCCCTCCCACCTCATGTCTCTGTTTAATGTTAATCTTTTCTTCCTGCTCTTCCTCCCTGCTCTGTTCTTAGTTGCTCTCATTATATCAAAGAAGACATTTGGTATTTGTTTTTTAGGGATTGGCTAGCTTCACTAAGCATAATCTGCTCTAGTGCCATCCATTTCCYKSMAAWTYC